TTACGTTACGTTACGTTACGTACGTACGTTACGTACGTACGTACGGTACGTACGGTACGGTACGGTACGGAGGTAGGAGGAGGAGGAGGAGGAGGAGGAGGAGGAGAGAGAGAGAGAGAGAGAGAGAGAGAGAGAGAAAGAGAGAGAAAGAGAGAAACGAGGGTAAAGATCCATTTCGTGCGTTCAACTATACAAGTTATAGGAATTGGACAGCAAACGAAAGAATTCAGAATGAAATTTAGAATTCGGTTCAAGATTGAAAACGTGCGCGAATCCGATTGATTTCTTTTTGTCGATTCGCACTCGCATAAGATATAACAATGATAGATGGGTAGAATTTAAAAATAAATCAAATTGAAAAAATAAATCAATTTATGGCAACATTAATTAATTAGAGAATAGAGAAAATAATAAAACAGATAATACAATTCAACAAATAAATTTGTAATATTTACAATTTGATTAACATTCAAATCTGTTTATTAGTCATCATTATTAATCAAATAGAATAAACGAAAATTGAGCCAATAAACATATATACATATATAAAACAAAATAAAGATCGTTTTTATAACAAAATTAATAATTATCTTACTAAATTAGAAAAAATTTTTGAACAATTTTCTAATAGCCACCATTTAATTATTGTAAAATTATTTAGAAAATGGTTATTGCGTTTTTAGAGAGAAAAATCAAGAAGGAAGAATCAGATAGTCAGGATCAGATAGCCAGGAGTGAATGATGTTTAAAAACAACATGTGGATGGGCTCTCGCGTGCAGGGCTTGTAAACGTCGAAAAGGCATAATTTTTCACCCTGGTTCTCTCAAGTCAGTTGTACCAAGCGGGGACAAATTGAGGTGCAACATTTCACCCCGTTACCAGTTAAAACATGGTATTAGCGAGGAGAATGCAAGAGTCGAACGCACGTCGTGTTGGTATCTATACGTATCTATACGTATTGTGAGGATTACACTGATGCTTGAAAACGTGTTCCCTCTTCACATGTTCTCAAATAGGTCTACTTCGAAGATGAGGACATAGCATAGCCATGCAATTGGTCGAATAAGGAATTAGACAAAAAAATGAGAAATTTCGGGATAAATAAATTAATATAAAGATACATGAAAATCAAAGAAAATTAATCAAATAAAAAGAAATTAATCTTTTCATCAAATCAATTTTCAAAATATTAAAATAAAAGAATAAGTCTATGTTGTACGAATTGTAAGAATTAAAATATAAAAGTTACACAATGTTTAAAATTAAAAAAAATTATTATTAATTTTATTTTTTTTAATGCTGAAATTCTCCCATGTCGTAAATATTCGTAGAGTAACTAATTTGCAAATAATTAATTCATTTTCAATTTGGATTTTGCGAAAAATTATTTAATATTTTGAAAATCAAGAAACTAATTTATATTCGCAAAATTAATTTAAAAGTATTGTCAAGTATTATTCAAAGTAAATACACAAGATAACAAATTAAGTGCATTGTATAACAATTATTATTAAAATATATAACACTATATTAGTCACTATCAGTTATCAAAAATGTAGAATTCAAAGAACAGGATGTAGAAATGAAAGTGAAACCAATGTTATGTCGTTCGAGAAGAAATTTTGTTGGAAGAATTTCGGGAAACGGGATAAGATAAAATTCGACATAGCTGTGTACACGTATTGATAAAATACAAGGGTGATACAATTATACAGAAAAAACGATCAGAAAAGGTCAGCAGGCAAGAACAACAATGTCCTCGTACGTATATAACGTGATATATAGATATGATACAGTCATTCGGTATTACGTACTCTGCTTGGACACGATATATTCTCATTTTACGATCTCGCGCGATCGTCGTTATGCTAACAAAAGACAAGACTGTTTGATGATTGGTTAAAGTTGCCGATATATTTAACGCGCCAAAAGAACGGATATCGAAAAGACTGGGAACGACAAGTATCGCAGGACGCAAAGATAAACGGGCGATATCAGTACTGAGGCATAAGAGAATTTTTAAGTTAAAAAGAGAATTTCCTAAGTTAAAAAATATCTTAAGATCATTATTTTATTTTTTGAAGTTTAAAAAAGAAGATCTTTTATATAAAATATCTTAGTCAAATTTTAAATAGAACAAATGAAGAACATTTTTTCTTGTCCACATGTTCTGAGAAGGTAATAATTACACTTATGCCTCCTCTGGCTTGAAATCACGGTATGAGAAATCGAAAACAAAATTGACTCAATAATTTGTAAAATTCTTTCGAACTGCTTTCACCAATGGTTAAAAGAATTTTAACAAATCTTGATGTACATAAGTTTTGCTTTCAACTACTCGCGTAGAAAAGGTTCGTATTTTATAACACCTTCTCTTCTCCTTATTCGCGTTTCCTACACAGCTGATCGGGGAGAAAAATTGCTAGTCTGATTAGCGAATCTCTCTAGAAAAATTGCAGTACAAAAGAGAGATCATGACTTACCTTCATCATAAGCAGTAACGTATTCAATACGATGAGTATCATGATAAAATATTCGAATGGCGTGGATACAACTATCCTCCAAATTTTGTACTTTACACTATTCCGCTCCTTCGGCATATACCTCTCGAGCGGACGAGCTTGTATTGTAAAGTCTATACATGATTTCTGAAATATTAACACGGGATTATTCATATGCGATGCCAGATAACTGAATTTCATATAATCGCATTGCTCAAAATGCGGCAAAGATAAAAATTAAAATAAAAAAATATATAATTTTAAAATCTTAATTTATATATATAAAATAATAATAGAGACTTATATATTTAAAAATTTATGATTTAAAACACG